TGTACGCTGACATCGCAAAGCGCACGGGCTTCAAACGTTTCACCTCCACCGAAACGACAACGCCGCGGCCGGGATCGCACCCACGGCCATCGGGTCAGCAGAAGAGCACCGTAGCCACCAAGGCGGACGAAGGGATTCACCGCCGTATGCGCCACCGCTCGGCTGAAAATGGCACTGGGCTACTCATGAATTGCGACAGATTATCGCTGATACGCAGTGACTTGCCGTGCCTAGAGACGGCGCTCCCGTCGGCTTTCTCGAGTGAAGGTGAAGCGTTGAGTGTCTAGAATACGGAGGGATTAAAACAGATAGTGAGAAAAGCCGAAAGACTGGAAGCGGCCCGAGCAGTCGTCGTCGAAGAGAGGACATCGCGGACGGGACAACCGTCAGCCGTGAAATCCACCGAGAGTCTCCGCTTACTTTTTTTTTTAAGTTTCCCCGCGTTAAGGGTGGCGATATCGGTGTTACAAAATTTTAATGTACTAATAATAGAAAGAAAAAAATCGCTTTAAAAGCGAAGTTCTCGCTCGAGGCTTTCATGTACAGTATAAGGGATCCGCGGTAACGCAGGTGGGCGCCATAAAAGGGTATATATATGCATGACAGATACGGGATAAATCCCACTAAGATTGGGTAACTTGGACCACGGTCCACTTTTGTCCCTACATGAAACATTCGCGGGAGTTTCGTGGCCAGAAAAAAAAAAGTATTGAAGGACCGTGCTGGTGCAGCTAAGATGACGGCGACAGTTAGCCCAACAAACGAGTGTGTGCCGCAGAAACCTGTGCGGACTATCGGGAAAACTATCACCACCATAAATTGCGTATGTGCCACAGAAATCGGGCCAATCCCACTGCACGCAACTCCCACACAAAACGGAACAAGGCCGCAGCTATAGCCCAACAAATAAAATGGCGTGCGCGTTGTCATAGCCACACCACTGACACGCCATACTTTGTGGTTATAAAAGGGGCGACGGGTATATACTACCACCTCAAAGGCTTCACAAAAAATGCTTAATAAAGAGCAGTGATACAACATATCCGGAAGCCCCACCGCGGTGGTCTAGTGGCTAAGGTACTCGGCGCTTGACCCGCCGGTCGCGGGTTCGAATCCCGGCTGCGGCGGCTGCATTTCCGATGGAGGCGGAAATGTCGAGGCCCGTGTGCTCAGATTTGGGTGCACGTTAAAGAACCCCAGGTGGTCGAAATTACCGGAGCCCTCCACTACGGCGTCTCTCATAATCATATGGTGGTTTTGGGACGTTAAACCCCACAAATCAATCAATGAATCAACATATACGGGAGACTTGCGAAACGCAGAAACACAGATAGCCTGATGAAAGGAGGACCACCGGCAGGCATCGCTCTGTCATCAGTGTCCGTGAAGAGCACCTGATATATTTTTTGCGCATTAGTTTATCTTTATATTTCGAGCTGATAAAACACCCAGAACGCGCAACTCGATTACCCGTATAATCACCCAAGTCCGCGCACACGGATCTGTCGGTGCAAGGGTCCACGCGTGTAATCGAGAACTGCGCCAGTCACTTATTATAAGAGCGTGGAAATCATCTATGCGCGGTTGACGCCGCCCGTCTGACTTTATCGGCAAAGCCGCAGGTCTCTACGTGCACGCGGTCATAAAACTGTACGGCACGCGAGATAAGGGCGCGCGCCTGTAATCCCAACAAGTTACGCCGAGGACCGAGCGTCAACCCGTTCCGCGTTCTTAGCTCAACGTGACACGGCGACTCCCTCTAATACAGAGATGGGGAGAGCTTGCACGCTGTATTTATTGCTTTCTTATATAGTTTACCGCGATATGATAAGGTCGGAGGAAAAAAACACCAAGCACGACATATTCACGATTGCAGTAATGATATGAGTAGCATTAAGAGATCGGAATCGGTTGATATCAACAACCCCCCCTCTCCCCCACTTTCGCCGATATAAATTGATGGCTATGATCCTGGGCATGTTTGTACTCTTCTCTGAGAATATGGGGGTATGCGCGTTGAACTAGCCGACTCTGGGCACATAGCGACTTTTCGGACTTATTGATTGGATATATTAACCAATTAGAGCGCATTCAAAAAAAAAATAGGCTGAATAAACGATACAGAATATGGACGAGAGCTAACCACTATCAAAGGTTTATATTTATTTTTCAACGATTTGTGTTTATTACAAACACAGTCATTCTGTTGGCATTATACGCCGGAATCGTCTTGCAAGCGTGCCCGTCAGCACAAAGTGGACAACTGCGTCAGTTGGCTGCGATTCATGATCGATGTATAGTACGCGATAGAAAACACGGACGATAAGATAGACAAGGATTGATTGATTGATTGATTGGATTGATATGTGGGGTTTAACGCCCCGAAACCACCATATGATTATGAAAGACGCCGTAGTGGAGGGCTCCGGAAATTTCGACCACATGGGGTTCATTAAGGTGCACCCAAATCTGAGCACACGGCCCTAAAGCTTTTTCGCCTTCATCCGAAAATGCAGCTGGTATTCGATCCCGCGGCCTGCGGGTCATCAGCCCCCTTAGCCAACAGGCCACCGTGGCGGGGCATAAAGAGATCGGAAGACCGAAATATGGGTCAGGGAGCGAACGGCAGTTGCCGATATTCTCATTGACATCAAGCGAAGGAAATGTATCTGTGCTGACCACGTAATGCGTGGGACAGACAACAGTTGGACAGTAATCTATAAGGTTGCTTGTTTGGGCGAGTTGCTAGCTAATCATTGTTACGTTGTTGTGCACTGCTTAAGAGACAAACACTTGAGATTAACTAGAGGATTGTAAGCGCTAACTTTCAACAGAGTTTGTTAGACAGACACATGATACTTTTATGCAATTGTGTTTCATGGTTACAAAAAAAAAGGGTTTACAAAAATGAACGACAAAAATTTTTAAACAGTCCAATTCAAATGACCAGTTATGCTGAGGTAACATGCACCTATCACACATCTTGAATTACGGGTTACCGTACATCAATTCTTTCTGCGTCAGTGCCAAAGAAGCCATACTGATGCAGTTATCTTTCAGGCGGATAATCTCGGACGCGATTGGAGGCACACACACACACACACACACACGGTTATCCTCTTCGACTAGCGGTTATTGTGAGCGACTACTTACCCGACCATAGCGAGATTGAATCCTGGCCTCTGACATTGTCTTTTTATGAAGAAAATATAACATAGGTCAGGGCAATAACTAAGGGAGAGTTTAGGAGGTTTTAACACCCCGAAATTTTTTTTTCTCATGCTGTAACTTTTCGAGTGATACCAACGTATTTACAAGCCTTCACATCGACCACCACTTGCCAATCTTGGCCGCTCTGCACGTAAACAACCCCTCGAACCGAATTCCCTTGTGCTTAGACTTGTGTGCGTGTTAAAAGAGCCCTGGGTGGCCGAAATTACCGACGCGAGTACGGCGTCTCTAATAATCATGTCCTTAGGGCGTGCACAACATTATTATTATTGTTGTTGTCATCGTTATTATTATTATAACAAAACTAGTTCACAGTATAATATATTGCTCTTTGCTTCCGAGATGTGTAAATTTTCGGATTCCACGTAAGCTAACCAAAGAGAATCGACCATTTCATGTAGCTGCAAACTTCTTTCAACACTCTACCGTTCACAGAATACAAAGTATAAGTTAACTTTCGTGATCTTGATGCTTTTTCACAGCCCACTGCCATTGTTCTTGTCTCATCTTTGCACTGTCTTCAGATAGTTTTTTTCATAATGTACAGATTCTTCCCTTTTCCTTTTCTCAGGAAGCCTTCCCCATAGTTTTGTGTATTCCCCCCTTTATTTTTCACAACAATTACACGATTCTCGTCTAGTCTTTTATCCTTTCCATTTTGAGCTGATTTCTATTTGTGTGTTTTCTCTCTTCTTAATTGTTTTTTATTTCTTTCTTTTTTATGTTGATTGTATTGTATTGTTCATTTTTATTGTTCAATTTTCACTGTTTTATTTTCGCGTGCACCTGCACTCAGACCTTATGGTTGTTCCAGGGCATGTTAAATGATTGATTGATTGACTAAACAAAGAAAACATCTTGCACAGGTTCGAAAAGTATGAACTAATGAATGGCATTCGTCGCCGCTCTTCCTGCAAAGCTAATTAAAAGCACCATACACTCGTATTCCTTCGGATAACGCGCCGACAAATTCGGACCTGTCAATCAGAGTTCGCACGCTATCTTATCTTGCGGTAACCTCATCATATCCTATTTCAAATAAGGCGTGCCAGTCGCGCGTTGCTCCTAAAACGAAGCTGCATATCAGCCAGATTATTATGTTCTATTTATCGTGATTGATTCCGGCTTATTGCAATGCTTGTAGGCCGCTAAAGGTGTCACAGGGCTGCGAAGGTCGTCATTAGAAGATGGGAAAGAAAGAAACATCAATACGGTCACGCAGAATCAACCCATGCATGAGAGGTCAACACAGTGAAGAGTTAATGTGCACACAAGAGGAAAGGGGGGGGGGGGAGGGCGGTGCTTAATATTTTTTTTTATCAGCCGGTGGCTAAACAAAGTGGTACACAAAGACTTATTCTATATACAGGTGAATTAACCGACTTGGTGGTATTAAATTAATGCCCTCATAAGCATAGGTATTTCTCTCTCTCTTTTTGCAGACTGTGCACAAGGAGCTTCTGAAACTTCAGCAATGTATTCGCGGGCAACAGAGAAAAAAAAATAAAACCAGAAAGAGAAGACACTGTTTATATTATATGTCTAGACGGCACGCGAACACGTCACCGCAGTTTCAATGTTCAGACCACACGCATCCGCAGATACAGAGCGGCCTCACTGACGGATGTAAATTTAGAGAGAAAAAAAAAAGGGGGGGGGGATGTGGCATAGAACTGTAGGTCACTTACGGTGGTGGAGAATTGCACGACTAGCAAAGGGCAAGCAACAGCGCGCGAAAAGAAAAACAAAAAAAGAGAATGACTGCTCACCGCATTCATGGTCTCGTCGTCCACAATGGGTTCGGGCTCGGCCCAGTCGACGGCCACCTCGTAGCCTCCCCAGAGGGTCATCTTGCCCGGGATCATGCGCCGGCGCGCCACGGCGGCCGCCTTGTGGTCCGCGTACTCGACGAAGGCGAAGCCCCTGTTGCGCGTCTTGTCCGCCACGTTGGGGTAGAGGATGACGTCCACCACGCCCTCGGTGACGCGCCGCATCTCCTCCAGGACGTCGTCGCGGTTCTTGTCGCGCGGTATGCCGCCCACGAACAGGCGGCAGTTGTCCAGCGACTCGCACACGCCCACCCGTCGGCCGCGCCGGATCTCGCGCTCGTCCAGGCAGCGCACGGCGCGCTGCGCCTCGCTCCGCGTCCCGTACGTGGCGAAGGCAAAGCCCCGGTTCGAGCCGGCAAAGTCCATCATGAGCCGCACCTCGTAGAGCCGGCCGGCCTGCTCCAGGAACGGCACCAGCTCGTCTTCGAACAGGTCCCGGGGCAGCTTGCCGACGAACACCTCGCAGCCCTTGGGAGGCGGCTCGCCCTGCCAGGTGAGCGGCGGCCCGTAGCGCCGCTGTCCGTTGTCCTGGACCATGGGGTAACCCGTGCGGTTCAAGAGCGCCAGAATGCGTCTCTCCCGGGCTGTCGTCGGAATGGACGCGACGACGTCGGTGGCGCAAGACGAGGAAGAGCTGGAGGACGAACCGCGCGAACCGCCCGCTCTCCCGTGTCCGGTTCTGGGAGCCCGGCCGTTGCCAGCGCAGACTTCGGTCGCGAAATCGCCAATCCCGGACTCCGGCATGGTCCAGGGCTCGGGGTAGTAGCCGACGTCTTCGTGGTGATAGTAGTAGTCCTGCTGCCGTTGAAGGCGAGGCGGCGGTCGCGGTCTTCTTCGGCGGGACCGTCGGTTGTCGTAGCCGCGCTCGAAGGCGCCCCTGCAAGCGGCGTCGCAGAGAGAGGGTGTGTGTAAATGTTGACTCGTGCGCGTTATTTTCTGGTCAGCGGATGCCACGAGTCGGGCGCGACAAGAGCGGCGTCGGGGCTTCCACGAACTGCTCGCCGGCGGTCGGCAACATTTCGGGAATAAGCTCAAAAAAACCAACGAAGTTCGCCGCGTTGCGCAGGCGAGAAACGCGCGACTATTTCCTTACTCCCGAGTGTTGCCGACGGAACACGCGCGTGCGATGTTGCACCGTGAACACCGGTCACCACTCTACGTCAAAAAAAGAGTCGTCCCACTCTCGCGACGTGCGTACAGTTACGTCACCCTTACCCTCCCTCCTCCTTTCCCTCCTCCGCGATACACGAGCCAACGCGATTCTCCGACTTGCGTATACGAAAGCTTGCAGTGTGTGCGTGTTTGTGATGGGCGGGGGGAGCGGTGCATATGAGACTTCGACCTCTCCGACGTCGTGGTTGGCCAACGGTACGCAAGTCGGGTAAAAGAGATAACGGACACGATGGCAAGGGGGAAAAAAGAGTAGGACCGAACGCGATTACGCGCGGAGGTGCGCGGGTGGAGTTTTTTTTTTTTTTTTATGTAGCCTGCGGCCACCGATAAGCGGCCATAGATAAGCAGTTTCGACAAAGGAGTCTATAGGGGAGGGTCGAACCACGGAAAAATGAGAAAGGAAGAGGAGACAATAGGAAGGGAAGAGGAGATGAGATTGAGCAGTACACATATCGTTTGACGTGGAGCTATTGCCGTTCGCTGAATTGTGTTTCTCCGTTTCTCGATAAATGTTCCAATAATGCGCGTCGCATTTACGCGTTCGCTGCCGCAACCCAAATTAAGCTACCGACGTTCTCGATTTCGGATCCCACCAGCGGAAATGGGTGCTTTTTCACCAACTTTAACTTATATCGATTCATGTCTCATAATTGCTACACTACACAACAGTCACGAACACCAAATTATATCCCCCTAGGCCCACATTTGTTGAATTGCCCGTTGGTTTCGCTTGGTTGTGTCTAAAAAAGAAACGAGTTCCACGAAAAAAAAGAGGGAATGAAAAAAGAAAAAGCTACATTTTCCCGGAATACTCGTAATCGATTACTTCTTTTTTTTTACGATTGATGTATGTTCTATAGCTCTGCTCCTAACAGTTATACCGTATGTTACTTCCACCGATAAGCACCCTCGCGTCCTTCAGTACGATGTGTGACCGGAGATACAAATATCCATCTAGATCGCTCGCACTTTACATCACAAAAGAACCAACAAGTAGGCGGAATTCTCGTTTTACTCCTGGCCCAACCGGCATCCTCAATACACACACACACACGCACACACACAAACACACGCACACACACACGCACATACGCACACACACGCGCGCGCGCGTGCACGCAGACAGACAGACACACACACACACATACAGACACACACACACACACACACACAGACATACAGACACACACACAGAGACACGCACACACAAATTTGTGTACACATGCGCATTTTTGTACACACACAGACACAGAGACATACAGACAGACACACGCACACACACACGCGCGCGCGCACACACAGACAGACATAGACACACACACACAGACATACAGACACACACACACACACACACACACACACACACACTTGTGTACCCATGCACATTTTTGTACACTCGCCCGCACCGCGATTTTTGCTAATCATGCCGTCGCCGCAAGCGAAATTCGCAACTCACCGGAAGCTTCGATTATCAGCCAACAACACCGTCCCGACACACTTTCCCACCGGTTCGTTGGCGTGCGGTTAGTGATTGCAGCCACCCCAGTGCGGTACGTATTGAAGAGACGGTACACGAAAAGAGTGGCTGGGCGGTGCTAGTTGGAAGTTGTACTTCCCTCAAGGCCGAAGGCCGCTGTGGTCGAACTTCGAAACGAGAGAGAGAGAGAGAAAAGAGAAATGCCGACAAAGACCCACCGCACCGCAGCTAACAGCCGCGTCAGCGGAGAGTGCCGGCCTAATCAAAGACGGGTGGCGTACGACGGCATGCGACGTCTCGTGACTCCATCGTCCCGCTAAACAACTTCCACGGGACACCGCAAAAAGGGAAGTCCCGACCGCGCTATGGAGGAGGAACGTAAGCCTTTGTGAGTGCCGCGAGAGGAATGGGTGGAGGGCGCGACCTTGGCATAAACTTGTAATAAAGGTGGGACATAACCGATGGATTGATTTGTGGGGTTTAACGTCCCAAAACCACCACATGATTATGAGAGACGCCGTAGTGGAGGGCTCCGGAAATTTAGACCACCTGGGGTTCTTTAACGTGCACCCAAATCTGAGCACACGGGCCTACAACATTTCCACCTCCATCGGAAATGCAGCCGGGATTCGATCCCGCGACCTGCGGGTCAGCAGCCGAGTAACTTAGCCACTAGACCACCGCGGCGGGGCCGGAGGGGGGGGGGGGGGGGGGCATAACCGATGATGAATACTTCCGTAATAACTGTAATAACATATTTCCGTTTTAACAGTAATAACAAACCACGGTCAGTGTAGATTAACAATGTTATTGTGTAAACATTTGAAAAAAAAAATAGAGGAGGCAAAAAAAAACGTAGTGATAAAGCCAAAAAAAAAAGGAACTTGAAACAGATGAGCCGATCATGCATCGTAGGTCGGCAAAAATTGTGGAGCTCGTTCAGACACACGAAATATATTTACCGCCTATAGGACTCGCTCAGACTCAAGACTCACCGAAATTTTCCTGAGCCGGTCTCACTCGGACTCAAAACTCGCCAAAATATTACTCACCCGCCGGACTCACGCAGACTGAGTGTCACTGCTCAATCTAAGTCTGAGTGAGCCCGAGTAAGTCGACTCGGTGAGTCCGTAAGTCTAGAGTTAGCTTTTTCAATCGTAGTGTCAATGCTCTTTAACACCAATGTCTCGCGTAATCGGAGCTGTTTTTGGCGCCTTTTGATATAGTACCTTCGAATACGAGTTATGAGCGGTTTCGAACCAGCAGGGACTTTTTTTTTTTTTTTTGAAAAAGATGAAATTATAAGGCATATTTATCAAGAACTTTCCCGGAAGAATTGATGGAGGGGGAGTGCAAGGCATCCCCATACGTGATTGACGCATCTAATTAATAAATAATGGAACGTTGTATGAACGATACTATTTTGAAATGTTCGTGAGTAAACGTGAGTGTAAACTTGAATCTAGGTAAGGCTGCATAGTAATGCTGAAGATGAGTAGATAGGACCATAAGTCGCCAATCATAAAGTAGAACTCACTCAGACTCCCTCAAGAAATATATCTCGCGCTTTCTACTCAAGCAAACACATAAACACACAAAGGTAAGAAAAAAGAAAAAAAAGAAGAACACAAGCAAACACATAAATACGATGATATGTGGGGTTTAACGTCCCAAAACCACCACATGATTATGAGAGACGTCGTAGTGGAGGGCTCCGGAAATTTCGACCACCAAGAGTTCTTTAACGTGCGCCCAAATCTGAGCACACGGGCCTGCAACATTTCCGCCTCCATCGGAAATGCAGCCGCCGCAGCCGGGATTCGATCCCGCGACCTGCCGGTCAGCAGCCGAGTACCTTAGCCACTAGACCACCGCGGCGGGGCGAACACATCAATATGCCGCGTAGCCTTTACGGGCTGGACATCGACAGATTTCGTTCCTTCATTCTTTCTTTCATTAAATTTTCTTCGAAGTTATTTGTATTCTATTTATCATGTCACGTCAACACAATGTACGCAAGTGTTCAAGACCTAGTGACACATCCCTAAAGCAGAACAGTTGTCTATCTATACCAGGCCAACCCTACCCGATGCAACACAAACACCACCGCAAACGCGTCATATTCGGCTACGAACTACCCTGTGTTCACTTTCACATTTCTCACATATAAACTGCGCATGCGCCGATTAATACAGGGAAAACAAAATGGCGCCACTTCAACCATACGCGAGCAAAAAAAAAAAAACTGTCGGCTTACAACAACCCTCGAAGGCGGTTTCCAAAGCGCTCACGCAAGGCAAAAAAAAAAAAGAAAGAAAAAAATGTAACTACAAATAACGGGGTAAGGCGCCGTCGCTCATATGAAGGATTGAGAGACGTATGAAGGCCCAACCAATCATGCAATCGTGTTATCGGGTATTTTGGGACGTTCAAACCGCACAACCGTTATCGGGCAAGCGCTGCACATTTACCTTTGCTGCATGACTTCACACCGATGAACCCTACGTTCACATAACGTACGTACATGCGAAACACACACGGGCACACAGAGGACAAATTGCGCGAATCAAACGACTCGCTTATCGCCATTGACAAAAAGCGCGCTAGTAGAAAATAAAAAAAAATACCGGACAACGTCGTTAATTAATAGCAGAGGCACAGACAAGCAACACCTAGTGCGCATTTAGCTTTAATTTCAAATTCCTGCGTCGGTTATCGGCGCGCCATGCAAAGAAAATCGTGGTTTTCGATTTCGACGACTCGGCGGCAGCCGCCCTTTTTTTTTTTTTTTTTTAACCTTTCCCGTCGCCGCTAAACTCACTAATTTCACGGCGCGCAGCGCTTCGTCGCGTACCTGAGTGACCGGAGATAAGTTTGCGACGAGTGTGACTTTGTAACGCCCGCCGGCTGCAAGAAAAATACCGAAAAAACGAACTCACTGCCACTGGGGAAAGTCTCCCACGAAGTTGCCCGCCGCCTCCATGGCGCCAAAAGCGAATCGCTGAACCTGCTGCAGCAAGCGCGACCACGCTCAGCCTCGTGCAACGATTCAAACGAAACTTAACAGTTCGTGCACGGATTAAGATTACGCGCTATCTTCTTGCACTGGCGATCACGAGCTGATAACGGGCGATGAACGTCCGCATACAACACGCAAGTAACTCAACGCACGCAACTGTAACAGACTGTACGTCTGCGACGGCAGTTTTCTTCTGCGTCAGTCTCACAAGAGCGAAATATGTGTCCCTGCACATTTATTAATAAATGCAGCCACAATACATAACTTGTTCGCGGTAAATAGTCACTTGTTTAAAAAATATTTAAATTTGTGGTTTGACTGAAGTGGTTTAATGAATCACCGCCAGAGGCAGCACATACATAGAGGTAAAACAAAGCAGCGTTAAACCGCGTCTGCCGGGGCGGCCGTTGGAACCACGGTCGGCAAAACAAAGCCTTTAAAGAATTGAGTGGAGATTTTCGAGAAAGATCATTCATTTTTAAGTAGCCCAGGATGTGCAATAACAGACTTGTAGCGCGTAGAAATTGTGCTAATACCACAAATTAGTTTTCTAGCGTGACGGAGGGGGTGCTATATATCTAGGAGTAAATAAGGGGCGTCGTTACTCGTTTCCAAATAAGATGGAACATCTATCCACTTGCTCATGTGTTTTTGCACTTGTTTCGTTTTCGCGTTGTGCGCAGCACTGGGACAGCGAGGCAGAAGAAAGCATTTAATTGAAATGAATACGTAGCCTACCCCTTGACTGAACATTAATTGAATATAATATAATGATAGGTTGTGTGTGTTCTTGGTTCACGCGTCACTCCAATACTCGAAAAAAAATGCTAAAGCTGCGGTACTGCGACAATTCCAAACGCATGTTCAAGAAAAAATTAGACGTACACTTTCAGCGTATGCAGAGCAACCATAAGCCCTTCAGTCGTTTTCGAAACTACCCATATGAATTGTGCTGGTGTGTGTGTGTGCGTGCATGCGTGCGTGCGTGCGTGCGTATGTTGTGTGTGTGCGTATGTTGTGTGTGTGTGTGTGTGTGTGTGTGTGTGTGTGTGTGTGTGTGTGTGTGTGTGTGTGTGTGTGTGTGTGTGTGTGTGTGTGTGTGTGTGTGTGTGTGTGTGTGTGTGTGTGTGTGTGTTTGCGCGCACACATAGCAGCCAGCTTTTTTCTTGCTTCATGAGGTCGCATATCATGGATATTGGTGGCCCAGGAAAAAACAAATACAGATTCAGAACTGTGACTCAGTCGCTTAATAGTTGAGGCAGTCTAACCTAATAGAGGTCAATGTTATTTATTTTTCACGCAGCTACGTTAGTTTATCATACGCATTCAGTAATGCACCTTTGAGCCCTGCCGCTTGAAAGGATTCATCTGAAAGGATTCATTAGGTCTTGCGTGACACGTTATTAACAGCACATTTTTTGTTCTCATTAGCGTCTTGGTTTGGCGAGGAGCGGACCATTACCATCAATATTTATACTGTAAAAAAATAAAAGATTAATCTGAGCTTTTACGTGCTGAAACCTCGATGTGATTATATGGCGCATCGTAGAGGCCGTGTACACCGGATATTACTTTTCACCGAAAATGGTTCTTTTAAAAGTGCACCTAAATCTAAGTGCACGGGTGTTTGTGTTGACGCAACTGCTCAACCATGATATCCTTGACATATCTATACCTTAATTCATTTTTAGCAGATCGTCAAAACTTTGAAGCCTTGCTGTTCTTTTGTCTTAAAAATACAAATTTCGGGTCAAAATAGACTCGTTATAACCATTAATTATAACCACAGAATACCAATCAAGAAGGGTGTAAGGCAGGGGGACACAATGTCCCCAATGCTATTTACCGCGTGCTTACAGGAGGCTTTCAGAAGCCTAGAATGGGAACAGTTAGGGATAAGAGTTAATGGAGACTACCTCAGTAACCTGCGCTTCGCCTATGACATTGCATTGCTGAGTAACTCAGGGGACGAATTGCAACTCATGATTACGGAGTTGACCAAGGAGAGCAGAAAGGTGGGTCTTAAAATGAATCTGCAGAAAACGAAAGTAATGTGCAACAACCTCGGAAAAGAGCAGCGCTTCGAGATAGGTAATAGTGCACTACAAGTTGTAAAAGACCATGTCTACTCAGGGCAGGTAATAACCGTGGAGCCGAACCACGAGATTGAATTAACTAGAAGAATAAGAATGGGGTGGAGCACATTTGGCAAGCACTCTCAAATTATGACAGGTATATTGCCACTATCCCTCAAGAGGAAGGTATATAACAGCTGTATCTTGTCGGTACTCAGCTACGGAGCAGAAACCTGGAGACTTACAAAGAGGGTTCAGCTTAAATTGAGGACGACGCAGCGAGCAATGGAACGAAAAATGGTAGGTGTAACCTTAAGAGACAAGAAGAGAGCAGAGTGGATTAGGGAACAAACGGGGGTTAATGATATCATTGCTGATATCAAGAAGAAGAAATTGACATAGCGCGTAGACAGGATAACCGCTGTTCGTTAAGGGTAACTAACTGGATTCCCAGAGAAGGCAAGCGGGTTAGGGGGAGACAGAAGGTTAGGTGGGCAGATGAGATTAAAAAGTTTGCGGGTATAAATTGGCAGCAGCAAGCGCATGACCGGGTTAACTGGCGGAACATGGGAGAAGCCTTTGTCCTGCAGTGGACGTAGTCAGGCTGATGATGATGATGATGATGATGATGATGATGATGAACCATTAATTGGCGTAGTCAGGTATACTTCAATTTGCATGTGTATGTATATAAACGCACACATGTGCGCAAGCATGTGTATTACATAAACACATTTACGCACGAACATAATAAAGTGTAGTTACCAACACCCGAAAAAAAAAATTCTGGATAAGAACCCAGCTCGTTCCAACGGAAGCCTATGTTTCAATACTATATAACTTCAATATTTGCGTAAACGTTAGAGATAGAAGCACCAAGATGTAGCTATTCTCTAAACGTGGGCGTTGCAATATGGCCTCACGCGCTCGAGATCCCGAAATCGTTTGTTTGCTTGTTTGTTTGTTTGTTTGCTTGCTTTAGAACGTTTTCTCTGGTTGTACTTGCTGCATACATGAAGTGCTGCCGACAAATAGGATGCTTCTTCAGGAACCAGTCGGACAAGACTTACTGCATTGTCTTGACTATATCACTTGTTTTCTGAGACGAAGCTCCGGTGTATGAAGTTAGGCACCTGTATATAATTTTTTATTGAGATTGCACTTGTGCGGGCGCTCGAGGTGCGTTGTTATTGGTGTGGCCGTTGCCGTGCTGTCCCACTTATCACTGGCACCCGCGCTGCCCGAAAGCGGCGGGTTTTCATAGTGCGCGTTAGCCGTGCATGAGACAAATTGAAGTAAACGTACGATCTTCGTCCATAATCAGCTCAGTTCGCTCGGTGGAACAGCCAGTGTTAATTCGCCTTTCGCTGCTGTCATGCATGGGAAGCTTTGTGCACGCAACAGATTTAAAAACATTGGCGTTCATATGGGCATTCAGATGCTTGCAAAGGTGCAGCACAGTCACAGCGAAAGCTAGAAGAGCGGCCTTTCAGAGCCTTTTCAAAGCACTCATTGGGTATCTGTTACAAGCACACTTGCTGGATACCGACTACGGCATTAATAATAATAATTTCCGGGTGGCAGGCCGGCATTCACTACATGCGATCATTCGTCATTATTTTTAGAAGCGTGGTGTCCGCTAAACACTTAATAATTTTTCTGACAATTGTTCAGGCAATGGCTGACGACGACGAGGAATTATGCCTGAAGTGGGGTATGCGCCACAGTTATTAGGTGATCAAGAACAAGCTTGAAGCATTGGACGACCCACTGTGGTTACACTATTCGCATTGTGTGACGTCTGGTTGTTCTTTTGCTGTTCTGAAACGCTTTATTGCTCATATTGACGCGATTACTTTCCCGACATCAAGCCTGCCTAAGACAAGTTTGAGAACAAGTCCCAAGCACCGGCGTGGCTCAGTGAGCGTGTTAAGGAAATGCAAATTCAGCCTAGTGCAAAAAGCTTTTTTCTTTAAATTACACTCCGGAACGCTACCGGTTAAGACTTTTCTAGAAGATAGAGGACTTTATACGCCATGGGGTTTGAACTGTTCGGTCTGCCGAAAGCCGGATACAATAGATCACGTTTTTTTCCCATTGTTGGGAAGGGGTTTACTGCTGGGATGTGTTACAGAGAACTCTAAGAAAGGAACTTCCCTTACATTCACTGGGTATCAGGTTTTTAACAGTAGAAAAAGGGGAGGGACTGCCTTTTGATCTCATAATGCTTTGGCCTCCATTTTCTATGGCGGGCAAGAATGGCCGGTTACTACTGTGACCCTGACAGGCGTCCGGCGCGCGTGCTTTTCCACGAATGCATTGCTCAGTACATTGATATACTCAAACAAGATTTTGTTCCTGAATGGCTCTCCAGGGTTGAACCCCTGGTGAACCTGAAGGAACTTTAGTACTGTAACCACTAATAGCTCCGCGACTGTTCTGTCATCGCTTCTTTTGCGTATGTTATTGTTTACAGTGTGTACCTAGTGCAAAACCGGTAATAAAGAAAAAAAAAACCAGCGTGGCTCAGTGGCAGAATAACGGGCTAGCACGCAGCGGAACCAGGTTCGAGCCCCACTGTGCCCTTGATAGATTCTTTTTATATTTCTGCGATAGTGGTTACGGACACCGGCGGCGGCGGACAACTACAGCGCCGAGCGTGACCATAGTTTTGATCTTATAACAGCTTGCGCTGTAATAGGGGAGGATAGCCAAGCCTGACTTTGAACATTGAGAGTGAGATATACAAATTAAGTTTGCGATTATGGTCCCCAATTCAGATTTTCATGTGGGTTACCCCTCCCCCCTTCCCCCAAATGTCCACATAGTGCCTCTTCTATCCATTATTAACGACTCTTATAGGGTTTCTACTTGGGCTTGCTTGTTTTCCCCTTTAGTACGTGTGTTAGAGGCATAGAGGATACCGACAAGGAAATGACACCGTGACGCACTTGTAACTTCGTCTGCTAGTTATGCATTGTACCCGACCCATAAATGCAGGCACTTCAAAAAAAAAAAAAAAAGACGAAACACCGACGGTAGAGAGAGTTAAAGAAGGGAAAAAAAAAGGGCAGCTGGGTTAGCGCGATCGAACAACCTAGTTATTTGTACACAAGGAAACGTCTGGGAAAACGAAACACGCTGACAAAACATCGAGCACGCTGACAAAACATCGAGTTTCATCCGAGTGCATAGTAGAGATTACTACCTTGGCTCGTTGCGGCAGGGAATGTTGCCAAATGTTGCCCAACATTCAACGATGTTAAGGAACACATTGCACCTACGTTTACAGGCGATGATAACGTTACATATCCAAGTTGAACTTTGCCTTAACATCGACGTCAGTTCTCGTTTGGCCCTTCCCGATCGATGCAGCATAACCGCCGCAGTCCTGCAAAATCAGGCTTGTTTTCCTGACATGCGCTAATTCAAAATCACTTTTCAACCAAAATGTCCACGTTCGATTGTTTCAACTCTGTCGACAGCTAGGGGCGGACCCAGCCACTCATTTGTTGGGGGGGGAGCTTAAAGTAACACCGGAGAGAGGGGCGTGGTCATTACTTTTGTCTTACTAGAACAAAAACTTTATCATACCATGAATACCATTAATGTGTGTTCAAAGAGATCCCACTCATTTGTCCTAATAGGTGATGGCAGGTGGACGGTAAGCGAGAGGGGGAAGGGGTACTGACAGACTTTGCGGGGGGAGGGGGGGGGTCGATCGCCTCTACCGCCCACCTTCTGGATCCGCCACTGGCTGTCTACCATGGAGGAAGGCTGTTCACTGTGAAAGCCGGCAGGATCTTTTTGGTGTGTGTGTGTGGGGGGGGGGGGGGTGCATGGGTTTCCTGTGCCCCCACCCTGGCTACACCACTGGTAAGAGCGCATGTATATGCACGTGCGCAGCGAGCCTTAAAGATAATTTCGCACTGCCACTTGGTAATGTTACTCACATATCCTGCTTGTGCACCATTTACTTGGGAGCTGCGGCACCCAAGAAGCTAGGCTACAGAGAAAACTAAAAGAAAAAAAATCGCAGCATATCCACGGAGTGAATGATAATGAGTGGGGCGAAGCGTCCATCAGTCCGTCCGTCCGTTCTTGCTTCCGTGCGTCCATCCGTCCGTGCGACCATTCATCCGTACGTTTGTCTGTCGATCCGTGCGACAATCGATCCGCACGTCCCTCCATCTAGTGAACAGTCCAAGTACCACAACTCATATCTTTTCGTCAAATCTTCATCATATAGAAGTACCGCCATCCAGCGGACATTCTAAGGACTAAGCAAGAGGTGACTACTACTATAACCACGGGACGTACGACCCATGGCGTAAGAAACTTTGCCCCTGAAAAAACTAAAAAACAACAAAAGAAGGCTGATCAGCGGAAAAACCAATGGTGGGTGTGCCTTCTGTTCGAGAACGGTGTCTCTCGACCTAAGGCTTTCAGTGCCTTCATAGTAGCACCGCTATTACACAATGGGCTGGACATCCGAAATATAGCCGAACGTCCACTGAATCCTGATCCAGTTATTCCCAGGATGACCTAGCGCCGTCGCATTTTGTGTTCTTAACACCAGTCTTGTTTGCCCATCTCAAATATCCTGTGGAATTCATGCGAACATTTGCACTGTATATTCTGTGTTAAGGGACATATCTGCAGGAGCCTTTGCATATGTAATAACTCTTAGATTGTAAACTTTTCTTGGCAGAATTGCCGACTCCTGCAAGAAAAGTGAGAGAGAGAAAACATTTATTGAATGAAGCTTGTGAGTGAAGGTGGGAGGGTCCCTTATTCCAGAAACCCTCTAGCCTGGACAGCCCACCAGGCCAGAGCACCGAGTTGACGCTGCTCGACTAGGTCCGGCTAGGAAGATAAAAAAAAGCCCTGCACAGAACCAGCAGCACAGGCACAGCGAAAGGTGGAAAGGCAGCCTCTCTGGAGCTTTTCTAAGGAAAACTGAAGAGAAACAATGAGTTGTTTTAAATTGATAAATTACCCTAAGAGAACTCTAATGTCACAAGTTTCACTGTCATAAGTTCATTATTAGTGAAAAAAATTATTAGCAGGGAGAGTTTCACTTTTAAATTTCGCACCGTAATCTCCACGCAGGATATAATTCCACAATGTATTTTTTGTATTTTCGCCACGTTGGCTTGATAAAATTTTCTGAGACTTCATATTCTAAGTCTCTGACACCCAAAGATTACAATTTACTTCACTTTTATGACGCCGCAGTGTTTGGAGAGGGAATCTTGAGAGGACGTCTCCACCCGCAGTTTCTTTTCGCCCGTTTTCTCGCTTAACCAAGTGTCGTGTCGTGGTAAGAGTGGCGTTTTCGAGGTCGTGAAATTGTACTTTACTAATATGCGTAAAAAAAAGAAGTTTTGCTCTTTAGCGTCCTTTTAGGTACTCTTGGGAATGTATACTACAAAAGTACGCTTGCATGATACCAACTACACCATAAAACAACTTTCGTGAAGAATGGACGTGTGGTATCCACTACATACCTGTAAAGCATATGTTCGAAATATCCGTGCAACACCTGATAGTTTACTCGCCTGAAACATTTTAATATGCAAAAATATTAGCGCGATTCCGTAGACATGAAGCCTCCATAGGTAGCATATGGGCGGAGCTTCTGCCCATGGCTGACATCTACAGTACGCTTTCAGACGAGCGTACTAGGTTTGTGGTATTTCTGAAATAGTGCTACAAAATACAGGTTATATATAGCTTCAATTGAAAGCTATGACAAGCCTTGAGATACTAAAGGATATGCAGTGTAGAAAAAACGGAATCATTAGCGCACTCTTAAGCGCTGATGCCAGCTGTTCAAGCCCGCATGCAAAGTGGGCACCATACATTATTGTTCGTATTTGTTCTTCTTGGAAAGCAACAAAGAATAAACATAATAAACAGCTTTATTGAAGGGATCCTACTTAATAAAAAAAAAAGGTGCACAGCCAAGCAGGAGCTGGGAAAGTAAAGGCAACATACTTATATTGCACCATAATTGTTCTGTTTGCAATCAAGCGCAGGGCCCTTTAGGGCAATGATCTTTAGGGCAACGCTCAAACCTACGCAGATGTGCTTTCTGTTGCTTTGCTGCTGCTGCCGATTATTAAATATGAGGACTTTGTGATGGGTAGGCCTTTTAAACACACACCTGGCGTTATTCAAAGCCTCTGCCACGCAATAATACGATACATTAAGGAGACTCCTTTCACTACATAACGTGCACTTTTTTTCTTTCAAAGCAGTTTTCACAAATATTGTTCTGTAGTAGAACAATATTTGTTCATACCATAAATACCTGCTTGCCACAAAAGCAGATGGCCTGGGTTTGACACACGCAGACACGAAAATTCTTATTTATTGTATTTGCATTTCTCTCAATTTTTTAGCCCACAACGAGCGACCCCAACACCAAAATCACTGCGAAGTGAGCTTTGTTACACCATCGCATTAAAAACAAAAACTGAGGGGCCGCTGCTCTTCCTTTTCGCAGAGCGATCACTTTTCTGAAATGCCTTTTTCAGGAGGCCTCTCCGAAAGCAGCTGATCGATTTCTGGCAACCACTCCTTAAAGGTTCGACCTCCAACTTTTGTTTCGAGTACTTCAAAAAGCTTGTCTTGATCCAACCTGAGAGAGAGAAGAAACAAAACCGTGCATGCGTGCTATCTTTTTAAACAAGAGCTTTTAAAAAAATCAAGAGTAGTAGCTACGTACAGAACATCCAGAGAATTTGAAACTTCGGATAGCCGTGAGACAGGGTCGCTCTCCACAAAAGACTTCAAACTGTCGACAGCTGCTTCAGCCACTGCGAGTTTGTTGGCAACTTCTGGGAAGAAATGAAAGAAATTGTGCTTAGACAGAGCATGTATTTGGTGCAGAAATAATGCTGTACAGTAAGGACATTAACCATCATGGCTAAACATTATCTTTGAAATTTCAACACATTGATAGAGACTTAGCTGTGACCCAAAGAATTTGGTACTGTAGACTGTACAAAACCTTCAAAAGTGTTTGCAAAAAATATTTTTAAATGTGCATTTTAGTAAATAACTCTATGGTGCGATATAAAAATCATAACACAGTCGTGTGCAAGCACTCTCAAACTTTATAATAACAAAATTGCATCTTACTCCAAAACAAGCTCATTAAGTATATCAAGAAACTCGTTATAAAGGTATATCTCTAACATGCCAAAACTGTACTTGATTTACTTCATTATAACAGACATTTCGTTATATCCGGGGTGATATTGTGTTGGTTTGAGTATATATATGATATACATTATTGTAACTAATACCTTGATATAACAAACCCTGATATAACAATTTAGGTTATAACGAAGTACATGAAAAGTATTCTTGCAATAGATATATCATTGAGAATATACCATTATAAGAAACTTTCGTATGAAACGAACATAATTATGTGTAAGATGCAACTTTTTTATAATTAGGTTTGAGTGTACTTCACGGTGGTCCCAATAAGAAGGCAAGAATATATTATGGGCCACCCAGAAGTAGCCAGAATAGTGCTGGGTGGAGCTACCACAATGCACAGTTTGACAGCTAGTTAAACACTGCGCATTTTCTCTTGAGTTTATTTTTTTTTCTCAGAGAGAACCAATCTTAAAAAAGGTGCCGGATGCAGAGACATTTTCGAACGAAATGATTTAGGAGCTTTTAGTTTTTTTGTGATAGCAGATGCAGGTAAACAGGGTATCTCTGTGAATTTGTTTCTTGCTCCAAGAAAATTTTCTCAAAAGCTGTTTAGATGGTGATCACTGCTTATAAGGATGCTGCTATAGGAAACACTCAAGAATACAAGCAGAAGGGAAAAAAAGCAGAAGGTTATTACAGAAGGGAAAAAAAGCAATAACGGCTCATAGCACTTTGCTTGATTCATGACACCAATATTAATAATAATTGTTGGGGTTTAACGTTCCAAAACCATCATATGATCATGCGAGATGCCGTAATGGAGGGTACCGAAAATTTCGACCACCTGGGGTTTTTTAACGAGCACCGAAATCTGAGCACACGAGCCTTAAGCATTTTCGCCTCCATCGAAAATGCGGCCGCCACTGCCGGGATTTGATCCTGTGACCTGCGGGTAAGCAGCCAAGTACCTTATCCACTAGACTACTACGACGAATGCTCCGCACACCGGTCTTACAAACTACAGCCACATGCAGTTTGTAATGCTTGTGGGGGAAAAAAAAGGCATACGTTGTTTGCGCCCTTCACACCAAATAGCATAGTGCTTTGTACAGAACAAGTACTATAAATCCAAAAAAGTAACGTATGTATGCACTGCAATACAGGATAAGTACCACACTCGAACCTCGACATGAGGAATTGTGATATAACAAAGTATCTGTTATAGCGATGTGAGTGAACAATAGCTTTGTCATATAGGGCTAAAGAAATTGCTTATAACGAATTTTTGGATATAACGATGTATTTCCATAGATTGTGACCTTGTTATAAAGAGGTTTGAGAGTATAAACAATGCCGCAAATGTGCAAAACAAGACTAACAACTAAAGACCAGATTATAGGCAAATGCCTATATTGTTTGTTGCGCTCCTATCGTGCCACTTTGATATATGAGTATGAATTAGAGGGTGGAAAGAGCTTTTAGAGTGCCTATTTTTGACGTTTGTGCCTACATCTTATAAGTGCCCATAAATGCTTATTTTGAAGATCGGTGCCTATATATGAACACTATTTAAGGGGACATGCTACTCGAAGACACTTTTTTTTAAATATTCACCCTAGAGCAATGAAACTTGAGCTGTTTATGAAACTTTTTACGCTGATTTCAAATATATAAATAGTTTTCTTGCACGTTGCACACCTTTAGCTCTGCAACATGACAAATTGAGAACCTTAAACCTTTTGCCCCCCTCTTTTCATCCCTAAACTTCTGTAAATTTTTACTATTCATAGTTCATAATGTTTCAAATAAAGTGTAGAATGCAAATAACTAATTAGGAAGCAGATACAAAATATGTAATACGCGTGAAAAATAATAGATGTAAAAAGTCCACATTTGACCAACTCTAGTAAAGGTTTACATACAATTTTTTATTATACAACAAAATATTGAAATTTAAACTAGATATTTGCATTTGTCATACTTTGAAAAAAATGTGAACAATATTTCATGCAGATCCGAGCACTAGAAATGCCCAAAAAAGGAAGGGCACTTTGGAAAAAATGGCGAAATTGGCCTTTTGAGAAAAACGAGTTTTAAAGTTAAAATTGAGTTTTTATTTATGAAAGATATCATTATATCTGATGAAATTTGCACACCTAAAAAAACAATCCTTCTTGTAGTGACCACTGCGACTAAAATGCGCCAGCACCAAGAGTTTGTCCTTATCATCTTCGAGCCGACTCCTCACAGACATTTCGCTCACAGAGAGGGCCATGAAACGCTTGCCAAACTTCCACTCTATCTGGCAGAGCCTTGTGCCAAATGCAAGCTAGGAAGAAGTTCGACAGGACTGGGAAATCCAAACTAAGTCCAGTGTCATGCCATTTTGTGGCCAAGTTTGTGCCACATACGATCGTACATATTGGCAATGTCGTCCCTGCTAAGTTCTCTCACTGCGAGTTCTTTCGACCTCGCAAGATTGGCGCCGACGTCATCGATTGACACATCACGAACTTTCGGGCTGACGGGTGTGAATAACTTTTAACGCTTTGGCTTTTGCAAGCCAACAAATTAACTGCGGCAAATGGGACCAGCTGCTCGTAGCCTATTCCTACAGAGCACGCCACACAATGGCTTTCACTTGCGAGCAATTCCTTTTTTCATTCATAACAGAGATAATTACACGAGAAACGCATTGTTCAGCTGCGCTGCTCGACAAGAGATGGACCCCGCAAACAGCACATACAGGCGCGCAGCGGCCAATTACGGTCCCCGATCCGTACCACGTGATAAGCCAGTCAAGGCGCTCGAGAAACGCGCAGAAGCGTGCTTCTTTTTATTATTTCTAGCTCTGCATCAGCGAGAGAAACCGTTGTTATTTGAAGAGTGAGGCTAGACTCTTCGACCCATGCGATCAACAATGGCGAGCGGCAAGGTGCTCGAAGACTGCACGCTTTATACCTTTTAACAGGCACCTTGTGCTCTTTAGATGCAATTTTGAAGCATTTCCAGCTAAGTCTCAATATCTACTTTTTTTTTTTCATAACAGTAGAGGTACTAATCTTATCAAAACAGGCAAAAATAAAAAAATCAGTAGTTTTGAAAGAAAGCTCGCGTTTTTCGACCCTCACCTCCCCTTAACCTCATGTTTTGCTTTTGAGTACAGTTGGAGACCGGTATTCATGTTACCGGACAAAATTGAGCTTTCGAAATTCTATGGGGTGCAACCTACAAACTCCATCTCATAAGTTCCTTTTAGCACCATCACAGGCCTTTTAGACCAGCTGTTCTCAGCCATGGATTTGTCAGGGACTCCTTGTGGACTGGTGGAAGTGATGGGGAACCCTTTGCAGCGGAGGTGAGAGAGAGGGGGAAGGGTACGTAGGTAAATTAACACAACTGGAGCGTAAAACAGGTGCCTTTTATTGCTACCAAAAACATCAAACAAACGTGCCACATCACTTCATTTTGGAAAGTTCATCAATACGTGGCCCAGTCACGCTTAAAGAAAAATGTGGGTGAGAGTTTGGCGGATCATAAAAATGGCTTTGCGGACCCTAGGGGGTTCGCAGACCCCCGTTTGAGAAGCACTGTCTTAGACAACAGGAAGGCCTATCAGCCTCTACATATGTATTCATCCACACTGCGTCATCTGCTCGGCCTCTCCCCGGCGTCTGGTCGCATGCGTAGGGAACAAGGCACAGGGCTTCTGTGCAGCCGCAGGACATTGAAGAACGAATACGAAACCGTGGAGTGTCATCAGGAGAAAGTAGAGGGTAGATTAAAAAAAAAATTTCCATGTGGTCCTAGTTTTGTTTGCCATTTACTTCTTAAACGGCGTTTCACCAGGTCCCACGAGAAATTTTACCTAGATACTGGAACTTATCGCGTGCCCGATGAAAAGCTTCGTACCATAATATTTTTTAATTCGTTCATAACAAGCCGCGAAAGCGCGATGTGAGGTTGTGAGCTTAAAAACCTTGTCACTTGCCCAGTATAGACTTCGTAAGCCAAATTCCTTCCCTGATTTGATACATTCGTATGTGGGGTTTAATGTTCCACAACCACAATATGATTATGAGAGACGCCGTAGTGGAAGGCTCCAAAAATTTTGACCACCTGGGTTATTATACGTGCACCCAAATCTGAGCACACAAACCTAGAGCACTTTAACCTTCATTGAGAATACAGCCGCCGCAGCCGAGATTCGATCCCGCGACCTGCGGGTCAGCAGCCGTGTACCTCAGCCACTAGACCACTGCGAGGGGCCCAAATTCCTTCCCTGCCCTCTCTGGTATCGAAGGATCTCGGAGCCGGAAGATCACTTGACACAGGCGCATCAACACGTCATGCACACGCAAGGTTACATTGGCATGACATGCCCATGCCAAGCCGTGCACACAAGCAGTGTTGTGTCATTTCGACATTATCTGTATTGTACTGCGTCTTCCTGGGTTGAATCCCTCCAGGTGCACGTTTGGAGAGGCTGGCACCACTGGAACTGCTATAAGGGACGATGCACCAAGAACAGGCTAAGCGTTGTGAATGCTGGCAACAGCCTGATGAGATATTGGTGAGAACACCAACGCAAACGAAATAGAAGAAACTTGGTCCCAAATTCCTTCCCTGCCCTCTCTGGTATCGAAAGAACTCGGAGCCGGAAGATCACTTGACACAGGGGCATCAACACGTCATGCTCATGCATGCCCATGCCAGGTCGTGCACGCAAGTGGTGTTGTGTCATTTCGACATTATCTGTATCGTGCTGCGTCTTCCTTGGGTTGAATCCCTCCAAGTGCACGTTTGGGAAGGCTGGCGCCACTGGAACTGCTATAAGAGACGACGCACCAAAAACAGGCCAAGCGTTGTGAATGCTGACAACAGCCCGATGAGATATTGGTAAGAACACCAACGCAAACGAAATGGAAGAAACTTAGTCTCGCATCTACTCGGTATTAAATGAAAAATACTTGTATTCAGGCAACAGATAGCACGAATTACACACCCCACCTTGAATAATTCTCACAGTGTCACGTACCATTTCGACATTTGCAATACCATTCTTTGTTTTATACGTCCTCTCCACTACGTTGGGGGGTGCGCCAGTAAAATGAAGGTTAAGCGGTGTTCAGTCTGATGTTGAATTCCAACGGTAGAGTATGAGCAAATTTTTCTGCTTCTTTTCCAGCAAGTGTGTTCTAATGGCAAAGTGAGCGCGGGAGTTAAGTGTTCCAATCAGAAACTCAGTGGATTCAGAGCGGGTGCGACTTCGAGGAGCAGGAAAAGTTCATTCCACCGAAATCAGTGGAATGAACTGGAACTCTACATGCCGTACCCCCTTGACAATGAGGGGACCGGGTGCTTGACCGCTGTGTGAGTGACACCCGATACGTTCGCTCGCTTGGGGGTGCCGCCGTTGTCGCATCTTTAGGCAGTAATGATGGACGACATGGTTGACTGGACAAATCAATTCATCGCAGAGTAACCGCAAACAATGGCGTACGAGCAATAATTTAACAGAACTCGACAGAAGAATTAGCGGAATGAAATACAATCGAGCCCACATATAACGGCCCCACATAAAACGAACTTTCCCTTGAAATGAACGATACCCGCGTGATCATGATAATCTACATTATTTCAATGGCACAAAATTGCACTTACAACAAACGGAGTCGGCACTCTGGCGACTTTCAGAGAAACCACTTTTGACGACTGGTGAGCAATCGGTGAGGTGCCTATAGACTCTTCTCGTTAAACACTGACCCTGCCTCTGCACCCCTCTAGATGTCGCTCTCCCTGATCGTTTTTGTTACGCACCCCTCCGTCCTTCGTCCCCAGCTACTCGGAGAACCACGATTCGCCAGACGAGGCCCGTATTTTCACGCTGCCACTAATCTTTTGAAGACTGGTCGGCCAACCAGTCTCCCCTCAGTGTTTAATTGTTGGTTTTGTCGTTGGCCTCACCAGCCCGGAGTGACCAGATCATTCGCCAACATTGTCGGCCATTGATTGTACCCATTCATTTGCATCTTGTCAATCGGTGTCATATCGTTCCAGTACATGCCCTCGTGCTAGCCCACCGACTTTGTCAATTTGCAATTCCTTCCGTGTTTAAAACCTGTTCTCGATCACTTCGCACTCGGCTTAGCATGCCCTCCGCAAACGCTCATAAGCCTAAAATCAACTTTGATATGGAACCAATCGCGAATTATTGAAGTCGGCGGGGCCGCGCAAGTCCGCCGGTGCCACAGTGCAATACTTTGACCTCTGCACACGCAGACCACTCTCCCAAGTTTTCCTACATGTCAGTTGCTCATTTCAAGGATCCTGCAAGTAAGCAACCCATCCTGCTCATTTCCGAGTGCTTTGGTTTTCAAGGTCACCTTCCCACCGTATTCTCCCCTCTCTTCACTCTATCACAACTCATTCGCATGTCTCTTGCAAGTATATTCTCCCCTCTTTATCGCAACTCCTTCATCCATTGCCAACGCCAGTCATGCTGGCTCAAATTCAGCAGTTTCTTTTTCGGACTAGAAACTGGCCCAAAGAAGTTTCATTATTTCCAAGCGTGCTGGCTTCTACGACACACATGCGCATCTTGCTCGCTGTTGGAGTGCGTGTGTAGTCAGAATGGCGGACGGGAGGCCTTCCACGCCTTTTTATGCCGCTCAACAAAATGTCCAAAGTGTGACCGCTTGGCTCGGGCGTAATCTGCGTGTTAAACACTTATAGGTGCCGTGTTGTCGCTTCAAGTGTCCCTGTATTCAGCTGTGGAGATTGTGGAGGCTTCGTGGGCAGCGGTGACGGCTATGTGTATGCGAAACTATTTTTATGAGACTCACTTCGTCGACGTCGGACCCGATGCTGAGCCTGAAGCTTCTGCACAGGACCACTCTCGTGGAGATTTGTGGTGGCGCATCGTCAACTCCGACATGGGAAGGTGTGTGAGACATCCATTGCAATGATTTCATTTCGGCCGATAATTATGCAGACACTGCGAAACTGTGCGAGGATAAGGGAATTCTGAATGAAGTGCCCAACAAGAGCGATTTGAAGGAAATTAATGGCGAGGATGACGAAACTTTGGAGCCAATGCCTACAAGCGTGCTTGTAGCAACTCAATAGCCTCGGGCAACTTGTATATATGACATGAGCCTTGGGGAAGCGCACGCTGCCGTTTTAAACAAAATCGAGACCATCCTTATCGCTTGTGCTCTTCAAAACATGTGCATTGCGAACTTTTTTGGGGAAAAAAAAATTGTGTTTTCACCCGCAACTTCTTTCAATGCTGCGTTTTATTTACACTAAACTTCGGGTTACAGCGAACAGATGCCGAGTCACGCTCAGATTTGCTATAAGCGAGCTCGACTGTACTACACGCAAGGTATTCTGTGTAAGTCAAAAGCTTCCATGTCAACTTTGCTCCCCATACTTGCTCCGGCAGCGTCGATTGTCTTCCAATTGTGGATTTGGAGGGGTTGCTTTACAACAGGGTGAAGTGCTTGCCGGCAGTGGCTATCGGCTGCTCTGACTCTGCCATTGGAATTCAAAATGACGTTTCACCTCTTTCCGGGGCACATAGCATTGCCAATCTCGGCAGATGCGATCGCGAGAGCCCAGTGCATGCATTCCAGTTGCCTGTTTGAAATTCTAAAAACTGATGGAGGGCCCTTTAAGGTGTACAAAGGCAAAAGAGAAATCGACCCTGTGCGTTTAGACTGAGCTAGTAGGAGGCAAAAAGACCCTTCTGGCCCTTTAGCGCTCCGGCTACTTGTCCCTGTGTTGCCCTTCTCATCCATGCCAAAAGGGAGAGACCCGGGAGCATGTTTATCTCATGGTGGACACGTAACTCACCATGCCAAACTAGAAAAGGGGAGACAATATTCTGCAAACCCTGCAGGAAAAAAAAAAATTGCATGACTAGGCTAAACTGCTGGCGCCTTTGTACAATCATAAACTTGACACTTCTGTTTCCTTTCCTGTCATAGACACAGACCCCACACGTATTTCTTCAAAAATTATAATTTTGTCAAAGTTTATTGTGCCTATATTTACTATCTTGGGGGGTCTAAACGGCTGTTTTGCACGCCTATTTTCGCCGCAAGCCAGGTTTTTTTAGTGCCTATAAATTTAACCTCTACTGAAAACGCTCCCCTTGTGAAACATCCTCAGCATTGCCAAGTATCAAATAGGGTATAGGTTGTGCCTCACCTGAAATGAGAGCATCACTCTTTTGTGACTGGATCTCATTGAGAGAGTCGAGAGCTGCCTGGAGGATCTGATTGTAGATTATAGAGTCACCAGTGTAGGCTGGTGGCCTCGCATCAGCAGAGCGTGCACTGTAAGACATGAGAGCGTCCCGTGCTTTCATGTCCTCCACTTGCAGTTTCTTATGAAGGTGTTGCACTTCCAAGATCAGCTGCTGGCACTCCTTGGCAGCGGATGTTTTGGCCTGTGCACAGGTTACACACACAGGCATGTAAATGCTGCCACCATTGTCGGTATTACACTGCCATTGTGCTGCAAGATTAGACATTGTGCAGCAACTTTGTGGCTGCAAGGGCTATTATCAACACCTGGCACAATGCTGCAAACCGTGCAGAATCAGAGCATGCAAGTGTTTACATCTTGCCCCCACTGAAAAGCCACCACTGCGGTGTTAACCCATGTATGCCCAAACTTAGGAAAATTAGCAAAACTAATTTAATTCCCCAAAATTATTGCTTCTACGACCTCAAAAACAGAATAAGGCTTCACAAAAAAACTCTTTCAAACAATGATTTTGGAGCCGTCCTGTATGTAGGACACCTATATTTGACACACTACAAACAAAAACATTAGCGCCTGTCACTGTCATACGAAAGTTACTGCACACCCAATAACTGATGAACAATCATCAAAAATATCAGCAGCATTGAGAACAACTAAACTCTATATTACTTACATTTTTTTTTCTCGGTATGGCACTCAGCTACATTCACGTGAAATAGCCATTTTGTGACTGCAAGCAGATGGCTATTTGCAGCGCAGCAGTCACCTAGACTTCCATGTGATGATGACAGGGAATCATGAACACATCTTAGGTGGTGCTCTTTTTACAGAAATAACATTCTAGTTACACTGAAAAGTTTCACCGCCCTACATGTAGGACACTGGGCATATATGGGTTAACATTGAACACATGACGCAGGCGTGCACAGGGTCCCTCTCCAGGGGAGGGGGAGGGGCAAAGGCACATCTCAGAGCCCCTCCCTATTATGTTAATGTATGGGGTTGACTTTTGTGGTCACCACTCTATGCTGACCAGAAGGGGCAGCCCCCTTCTGGTCATTGTGTTTGACACAATATAATGAGATCTAACAGACAATAATGCCAAGGAATGTATAGGGGAAGTTATCGAAACTAATGTAATGTAAATAAGAAGAAAGAAAAGTGGATGAAAAAATAACTTGCCGTGAGCAGGAATCGAACCTACGACCTTCGAATAACGCGTTCATATATATATCTATATAAATATATCATCATCATCATCAGCCCGACTACGTCCACTGCAGGACAAAGGCCTCTCCCATGTTCCGCCAGTTAACCCAGTCCTGTGCTTGCTGCTGCCAATTTATACCCGCAAACTTCTTAATCTCATCTGCCCACCTAACCTTCTGTCTCCCCCTAACCCGCTTCCCTTCTCTGGAAATCCAGTTAGTTACCCTTAATGACCAGCGGTTATCTTGTCTACGCACTACATGCCTGGCCCATGTCCATTTCCTCTTCTTTATTTCGACTATGATATCCTTAACCCCCGTTTGTCCCCTAATCCACTCTGCTCTCTTCTTGTCTCTTAAGGTTACAACTACCATTTTTCTTTCCATTGCTCGCTGCGTCGTCCTCAATTTAAGCTGAACCCTCTTTGTAAGTCTCCAGGTTTCTACTCCGTAGCTAAGTACCGGCAAGATACAGCTGTTATATACCTTCCTCTTCAGGGATAGTGGCAATCTACCTGTCATAATTTGAGAGTGCTTGCCGAATGTGCTCCACCCCATTCTTATTCTTCTAGTTACTTCAATCTCGTGGTTAGGCTCTGCGGTTATTACCTGCCCTAAGTAGACAGTCTTTTACAACTTCAAGTGCACTATTACCTATCTCGAAGCGCTGCTCTTTTCCGAGGTTGTTGTACATTACTTTCGTTTTCTGCAGATATATTTTAGGACCCACCTTTCTGCTCTCCTTGTCTAACTCCATAATCATGAGTTGCAATTCCTCCCCTGAGTTACTCAGCAATGCAATGTCATCGGCATAGCGCAGGTTACTAAGGTATCCTCTATTAACTCTTATCCCTAACTGTTCCCATTCTAGGCTTCTGAAAACCTCCTGTAAGCACGCGGTAAATAGCATTGGGGACATTGTGTCCCCCTGCCTTATACACCCTTCTTGATTGGTATTCTGTTGCTGTCTTAATGAAGCACTATGCTAGAAGTTGATCCCCTGTAGATTTCTTCCAGAATGTTTATATATACTTCATCTACGCCCTGATTCCACAGTGTCTGCATGACGGCTGATATTTCTACTTAATCAAACGCCTTCTCGTAAGCCATGAAGGCTAATGTATAGTGGTTGGTTATATTCTGAGCATTTTTCTATTACCTGATTGATAGTATGAATGTGGTCAATTGTTGAGTAGCCTGTTCGAAATCCTGCTTGTTCCTTTGGTTGATTGAATTCTAATGTTTTCTTTACTCTGTTAGCAATTACCTTTGTAAATAGCTTGTATACTACAGAGAGCAAGCTGATCGGCCTGCAATTCTTCAAGCCCTTGTCATCTCCTTTCTTATGTATTAAGATGATGTTAGCGTTCTTCCAAGACTCTGGTACCCTTCCCGTCAGGAGACACCTCGTAAACAGGGTGGCTAGTTTACTAACACAATCTGTCCTCCATCTTTCAGCAGGTCTGATGTTACCTGATCCTCACCGGCAGCTTTGCCTCTTTGCATGCTCTCCAAAGCTTTTCTGACTTCTTCTACCATTACTGGTGGGGTGTCATCTGGGCTACTGCTAGTTCTTATAGTATTAAGGTCGTGGTTGTCTCGGCTACTGTACAGATCTCTGTAAAACTCCTCCGCTATTTTAACTATCTTATCCATATTGGTAGTTATTTTGCCTTCTTTGTCCCTTAGTGCATACATCCGACTTTTGCCTATCCCAAGTTCCCTCTTCACTGCTTTGACGCTTCCTCCGTTTCCTCATATATATATATATATATATTGTTACCACATGTGTAATTTAGGTATGTGCACCTGTGTAGCGGGGAACATGGTGGTAGCAGAAGAAGAGGACGTTCGGTTCGTGGCAAGAGCTCGCTGCTTCGCGTTCACTGCGGTATACCGTCGAGTCGACCGTTACGTCTGCTTCGAATAAACCCCTCGTAGGCGTAACAGAGTGGTGGAGGTGCGGGGTACGACACGTCGACGTACCACGGAGCCACAGCTGTTCGGAGTTTGCCGAAGCCGTCGTCTTGCCGGTCTGCCGCCGACAACAGTCGTCATGACCCAGAGCGAAGGTCAGGAATCAACCGCCTCGACTTCGCGTCAATCTACACTGACTACACCTCGGCATCCCTACATGGAACCCCGCCCGTTCGCGGGAATGGCAGGAGAAGATGTGGACGCGTGGCTAACGCACTACAAAAGGGTGAGCCGGTACAATCACTGGAACTCTATCGATCAGCTGGAAAACGTCGCGCTGTTTCTCACGGACACTGCACTGATGTGGTATGAAAACCACGAAGAGTCCTTGACAACATGGGCTCTTTTTGCTCAAGAACTCAAGAAGTGTTTTGGTGACTCCGACTCAAAAAAGAAAAGCGCGGAGCGGACTCTTGCTGGAAGAGCCCAGACTCCTGGAGAAACCTGCACTGCTTATATAGAGGACGTCCTTAAGCTTTGCAAGATTATAAACCCGCAGATGTCCGAAGAAGACAGGGTCGGACACCTATTGAAAGGCATAGCGGAAGACGTTTACAATTTTCTGATAGGCAGGGATGACCTCACCTCTGCCTCCGACGTCTAACGCCAATGCCGCACGTTTGAAAAATTGAAGACTCGTCGCATCGCCCCGAAATTTGGTAGGCTGGGAAATGTGACCACGGTTGCCAGCGTCGAAGTGAGCCCGCCCACCGGCCTTGCGGCTACTATTCGGGCAATTGTGCGTGAAGAGCTGCAGCGACAAGGTGGTAGGGTCGACGAAACCATTCCTCATTCACCTACCAATCCACCCTACTACACGGCGGCACCATCAGCTACTTTGCCACCATCGGTATGTGTGGCAGACATCAGCGAAATTGGAAATCCGAGGCCACGTCGTGACTCATTCACGGCCGACCAGCGATATGGCCAACGCCTTCGGCACGGCCCCGCCACACAGAGGTGGGCAGCCCCCGCTCAGCAAGCTCGTCACCGACCCTTCACAGCTGAGCGATCTCAGCATTGGTTCAGCGAGCGTCCTCTACCAGTCTGCTACAACTGTGGCTTCGAAAGACACATTGCCAGGTATTGCAACTACCGGCAGCCGCCAAGGTACGACCGATCACTGAGATTTAACCGTTCTGGCCTTACCCGAGCACCGACATTCCCGGGAAGCGCGTCTTACGAGATCCCAGGACCGCTACGAAACCAATCTCCGGCCTCTGACCGCAGTGTGACACCACCACCTGCCCCTCGTGCCAACCGATCACCGTCTCCTCGGCGCTGCCACTCCTCGCCTCTTACGGAAAACTAGCCGGCGCGGCCGTTGGAGGTGAGGTCGCCGGACATTCCTCGATTTCAACAGATATACCTCCGTTAGCTTCCATGCTTAGAAATAAGGTTCGAGTGCTTATCGATGGTGTACCGACGATGGCGTTGGTGGACACAGGTGCAAGCGTGTCAGTGATGAGTTTAGTTTTCACCCGCCTTCTTGGACGAAAGGTTATGTTTCGTTGGGATCGTCCTGATACGTTTCGTGGAGTGAGCGGAGAGGTGTTACAACCTGTTGGTGTCTGCACTGTGACTGTTAGTTTGGCAGGCCAGAACTTTGTCGCGGAGTTTGCTGTTCTCCCTCATACTACGCACGACGTCATTCTGGGACTCGATTTCTTGAAGCTATGTGGGGCTACTGTTGATTGCCGCACAGGACAAATTACAGTAGATTCTGATATCCCAGTTTCGTTTATGGAAAACTCGCCCTCTCAAGAAAGTGCTCTTTGCGTGTCTGTGGACACAACTGTGCCGCCGTTGTCTGCAAAATGTGTCCCTGTTGCCTGTTCATCTGCAAGCGAGAAAACATTTGACGCAACTGTGGAGCCCGTGCATCTCAGTTGCATAAAGAAGACAGTTTTAATACCCTACTGTACATTATCGGTTGCGCAAGGGCATACTGGTTTATGGGCGATTAACTGCTCTAATGAACCTACAGTGCTGCCGA